GATGCGAGACTCGTTCAAACGTTATCGAACCTAAATAAACACGAATGATCTTCTTGGCGGGGTGTAAGGATTCGTGAGTAAGGATTGATGCGATTAAAGTTGACTTATTCTTGCCGATTTGTCGAAGGAAGAAACTTATGGCGTCTTCTTTCAGAGTATTTTCCTCTGAAAAGAGACGGGTGAAAAGGGTTATTGTTGTTAATCCTGAAATCCTGTATATCAGGCGATTTTTTTTTCTTTTGTTCGTAAATTTGGTTGAAGCTGTGAATGGAGTTGGTTTCAATACCATATTGGCCCCCCCCCCCCCAAAAAAAAGCATTTTCATTATTAATTTGCACATACGTATGTTTTGAGAAAATGTTTACAGTATTTCAGTGCAAACATTGTTAGGAAGTGCACGAAATGAACCAGTGCTGCCACTTTCCTGCTCTTATTTGCATCTCTAACACGCACAAATTGCCCCAAAAAGTTTCTGCGTGCAGAATCTCTCATTCGAGCAAAAAAATTCGTCCCCAGATGTATTTGATCGCAAAATAATGCTGCCGACTGAATGTGAGAACTTAAATTACTTCCATGACATAAGCTCTCCTTCGTCAGAGATTATAATTATTCGGCTATATCCTCACGGCTGCAGAAATCTGAGGGAAAGATGCCAATATCAGAAGTTGATGCAATCGTGCTAAAAACACAAAAGCCGATTGGTGGTCCAACGAACCCCACACAAATCTTATGGTGCGTCGAAATGCCGTGAAAATGCCGTGAAAATGCCGTTTCGGAAGCTACCTTCCCTCTGAATTCTTAAAAAGGTGTCGAATATGCGACAGATATAAAATGTATTGGAAGGTGTGCTCAAACTTCTAAACAAATGGGACACATCATTATAATAAATTATTTGTGCGGAGAAGCGATATAAATCGCACGTGAAAATAAATTGCATTCTTACACGCCCTTTTCTTCTCACCCTATCCCAACGGGAAAGCGCCATTGAGATAAGATAGAAGGGAGGAAGCAGAAAAGAATCTCCCTTGTTAAGGGCGAGTGGCAGCAAAATTTAAACGGCAACATTTTATAAGCGCGATAACCGAACGCTGGTGGCTGTGAAAACGGCCGTATACCTCCACGCCCGGATACTTTCTTTGGACGAAACTATGCTCCCACGGATGAAGGTCTACCTCCTTTGGACGAAACTATGCTCCCACGGATGAAGGTCTACCTCCTTTGGATGAAACTATGCTCCCACGGATGAAGGTCTACCTCCACGAGACATTTCCATTCGAATGTGCGAATCACCCCCAAGGACACGGAAGATAGGAGCATGAGTCTGCTTTACTGGTATTAAATATATACAGCCGATCGTGTATTGCGAGGAAATGGCAAAGAAACCGGAAATGGTGCCACTTTCCAACAACGGTATCAAAGGTCGAATCGATCTCATCTCTGATGATATTTTGGATCAAATTCTGACAAGCCTGAAAAAAAAAGCAGGGACGTTTTCTCTCCAAACAGATGAATCTGTTGGTATTGGAGGGGATCCCCAGCTCGTGGTTTTTGCACGGTACAAGGGTGAAGATGACATTCTCGAACGATTCCTCTTCTGCATTTCAGCATTTCACTGTCAACCACAGCAACAGGCGAGGACATCTTCAACCTGGTTGACCTTTTTTTTTCATAAATCACACCCTCGAGTGGACAAATTGCACGGATGGAGCCATGATGGGAAGCAGACTGGGATTTTGTGCTCGAGTTAGGAAGGTCAATCCCAGTGTCATCGTGGTTCACTGTCATCGTGGTTCATTGTCACAGTGGTTCGTTGTCATCGTGATTCATTGCTTTCTGCATCGAGAAAATCTAGCAACCCAAGAAATGCAGCCAGATCTGCATTCAGTTCTGCCAGGCTGCCATTGCAATCACAGATTTGCAGATTTGCGAGTGCCTTTCTGGAAGACCAGTTTAAAGTCTGTCTGACCTGGAAAACATTTTTCAGGGTCACTCGAAAAAGACGAATGGAAAATGTCGAAAAGCACAGCTGGCTCAGAAACCCTTTTTTGATTTGGACCTTACCGAATCTGGCGATGACACACCTGAATTTCAGGAAGAACTGATCAGGAAAATCAAGTTCGAGTCAAGTTTCAATCAAGTTCGCGACTGGATCAGCTGATCGAAAAGGTGCAACAGTGTCATGGAAGCCGCTACGGATGCGTTACGAATGCGTTACGGCTGTAAAAATTAGCTCATCAAGAATTAGCTGAGAAATATTGGCATAAATGCTTGTTGATTTGAAGTACCGATTTTTTCGTTTCTTCAATAAATTTGTGAAACTTTTCTGAATTGTTCATGAAATGAAATTTGAAGAAATTGAGCAACATTGTTGTTAATTATCTTCAAATTTAAGAAATATTAATCAATTTATTAATGTATATTAAGCCAATTAAGGTATGAATAGCATTCATTATTGATATACAGTGGTGCACGTAGGTACCGGTACCATTTGGGTTGCGAAGCAAGTATAATTTGGAATTTTGGGTCACAGGCAAAAAAGTTTGGGAACCGAGGCTGTAGACTGTGAGTGAATTGTATACATTATATTGTATATATAATTATATTGTATATATAATTATATTGTATATATAATTATATTGTATATATAATTATATTGTATATATAATTATATTGTATATATAATTATATTGTATATATAATTGTATATATCCATTGTTATTGTTACTGAACATCCTAGTCCTTCCGAATCTCACCGGTACTTATCTAATTGGAGTCAGTCCGTATATAATAGCGCCCGCGTACGTACACGGCGAACACGCGACCCCATTCGGCAGCCTCGCCTGCACAGGATTTTGAAAGGAGGAGACATAGGACAGCTGACGTCACCAGCAGTTTTCAGGAACTTGATGATCGCGTGATTCGTTCAAGTCAGTCATCCAGGAAGGAAAGCAACTATTGATGGCGGAGCCGAAATTCAAGTTACGGTATGCCCGGGCTGGGTTTCTAGAGGATTGTCTCGCGTCCACAACTTGGATTTCGAGCGAAGTATTCCCCCAGGACAGGAACTGTCGCGTAGGATGCAACCCAGTCGCGAACTTCGGTTTCTTCGCCACGAGAGAGTGAGGAAGCATCATTCACCATCCTCGACGTCGTTGAGGATCGTGCACGATGGGAGAAAGGAACAGAAGAACTCCGGAACGTGTACATGCGACCGCGATGAACTGATATCGAAGGACGTTAGGTCTTCCCCTTCTTGAGGAAAGGAATTTTTTTTTTTTTTTTAATACGGTCGCGTCCCCGTTCTTTTAAGAAATTCGGGACCAGAACTCCCTAATATCGCCTCCTTCCGGGATTGGAGCTGAGGCTGTGAGCATCACTTTTCGACTTTGAAATTTATTATTTTAAATTTATTTTAATCCTTTTGTGCCCTGCGACGTTTTATGACGTCGACATTCTTGCCATTTGACAAAAATTATTTTGGACGTCTTGTCCCGGAACCGTTCGTGTCGCTAAAGAAAAAGTATGCAAAACAAAACTATAAATAAATATTTATTTATTTGAAACATATAAATATACACTTTTAAATATATAAAGAATAAAAGAATAAAATAATTACTTAATTCCATTAGAATTAATATAAGTAGAACTGAAATGTCGAAAATGGAAAACTCAGTTTATCGCTGTACACTGCTCCACTCGACCCCAAGCTGCTAAATTTCCGAGAAACTTAGCATTCCAACGTTGCACGGGTCGGGTGCTCTCATTCGAATAGGGACAGTAACGCTTCCAATCTCGCAGGCGTTGACTTTCTTCGGCCACTCAACGAAGCTTTCGTCAGGATTAATGTCTCATTAATTAATTAATTAATGAAGGCGAGCGAGCGGGTTATCACTTGATCGGAAACGATGTTGATTGGAGCAAGGAATCGTTAAATAAAATTTCTTGTTCTGGGATTGTGTTAAAAAAGCTGATTTAAACTTTTTGAGGGAATTGTGTGCTGATGATGCAAATGACACTCGCGCCGCTTGTAAGCCTCTAGTTGACTGAACTATTGGAAGCTAATATGTGAGTGACATTTAAAGGGCCAGTTACAAAACAACTGGCCCCTTACCAGCAACTGATACATCGTCCATGAGGAATTCAGCGAGGCATTTGGTAAGAACAGAAAACAGCGGCAGAGGAGTGCGACCCTAAGGGCGCTGTCAGCTGACCGGAAGGGCGCTCTCAGCTGATCGCATGCGATAACGATGCAGAGAAATGACCAACTCCACAACTTTCTGCAGAGCGTGGGAAAGGTTGCAAAGGAACTGATTGGGAAAATCCACGACGCCAGGATATCTCCATTGATCGCAATTAGCTTTCTACTACATCACAGGAGATCGACCGACTCGGTCATACCTGCACATTTGGCGAGGAAATGTCTACATTTCACTTTCTTTCATTTTCTGCTGCTGCCGTGCACTCGTGAAAAAAATTTTGAGGCAACTATGCATTGATTTATCTCAGATGTGATTTTCATTTCTATATCCAACATTGGCAAATACTTTTTTTCTTGTCGCTCAAGCTGGAACACAAACTTCTGACTTGAAGCAGATTCTGCCTGTACAGAGTTTAACAGCAAGATGTAACACCAAAGAGATCTGCACGAGAGCTTGTGTTTGGTTCATATGTCTTCCTTATTCACAAGAATATTGTATTTCTACCTGACTATTAGAGATAGGGAGGTATTTAGTTCTTCATTAACTTGGTTTTCAATGCATCGTCAAGTGATACTGAGACAGAAAAAAATTTTAAGTGCCCTTTATTAACCTTGACCTTCCTGTTCTCCCTAATGTGCAAAAGTAAACAATCCCCACTCTGTACTTAAGGCATGAAATTTTTTTGCTTTCACTTTGCAACAGTCACTAGAAAGTGACTTTTCCTGATATAAAGAGCTGACAGTCATTATTTGAGCAATGGAAATTGCTATAGACTGACAGTTGGAAAAATCAAGAAAGTTAGACCTGATTGGATAGTCTTAATTTTTTTAATTGCAGAAAACAGAAAAAAAAAGAGGAACACAGTCTGGACTAGGGATCTTTTGGACAAGAGATTGCAGTGCTCAAATGAAACCTACAACCCAACAGAGGATTCAACCATTCCATGATTTGAAAAAGGACATCTATTGGGTGAAAGGCTCCAGCTGGATGGTGCAGGAGCCACAAAATTTGTCTGCAGATATGACCACATTGATGCCATAGGCAGCACGAACGCTGACGTTGACTCGAGTGAGGTCGACGGGCTCTGGGGGCTTCTTGTAATAGGAGAAACCTTCTGGAGGGGAAGCTGCCTTCGACCGTCTCCTTAGGGTGGACTTACGAGCCATGCCCAGAGGCCTGTTTTCCACTATTCCTTGATGGGCATAGAATCGCTGCAGGGCTTCGGCCTTCACGTTCTCGTCTTTCGAGATGGATACTTCCAGGCCAGGGTGCTTGGCATTCGAGTGAAGCGTCACAGAATAGCGCATGGAGAAACTCTGGTCACAATACCCACATTTGAATGGGAGGATATGCCTGCGCATGTGCTGGTGGACCACAGTCGACTTCACCATTTCATTGCAGTATGGACACTCCATCAACGGTTTCTGCTGTTGTTCGGTTTTCCGCTTCAGAATCGTCGAAGTTGTTCGTTTCAGCCTCTTGGACTCGACTGTCACTGCCACCAGGAGAGAGGTATTAAGGTCTGGTTTTTGGTGGTCTTGGGCCATGTGAAAGGTTGCCTTGTTTTTGAACTGGAACTTCTGTCCACACAGCTCGCAGCTATATTGGAGGAGCTCTACGGTTTCTGGGAGATCCGAGATCATGGAGAACGTTCGGTCGCCACCTGCATGGGAGGTGCGCTGGTGTTCCTTCATGGATGCAATTTTCCCCACCACTTTGCATGTCATGCACTGGAAGTATGCTGTCCGTGCTTCGGGCGAAGAACAGAACTTCTTCGCTGGTTTCATTCTACCGTGGGCAGACTTAGCATGATTTATGATATCCTCTCGGGTCACAGCCATGGCCTCGCACACTCCACACTTGAAACAGAGGGCTCGTTGTTGCAACAAGGAAGAGTTGTTGGGACCAGTAGGTGTACTTGCTGGAAGTTCTTTGGACCCTCTTCTGCTCCTTCAGAAAATATCAAGATGAGCACATAATGAGAACAAGGTGCATAACATTTTAGAGAACAATAAAGATGTTGACATATGCACTCATAATGGAAAATATAATATTCCATAAAATTCCATAAAAAGAAAACATAATTTGGGATATCCCACATCACTGCTTCTTTACGAAGGCACAAGTAACAACAGGGACATGCCAACATGAGACATACCACACTGCCTTCTGCATGTCATTAAAAAGGCTTTGGATATTTGATCATAGCTACTCACATGGCATTCCAAGAAAACTGTGCACTACCACACAGTTCTCCAGTGGTAATAGCACTTTCTTTTACCTTTTCCAGCAAGTAATTCCATGCAGCAATAATAGCAAATTCCATACAGTTTGTAAACTCTACTTGTCTTTAAATCAGTACACAACACAGAAGAGCAGGAGCCCTTAGGTATTGTATCATCAGTATAAAAGAGTTGATGTATTCCCTACATATTCCTAGTATTCCGGAGTCCTAAATATCTTGAAGAATCACTTTAAGGATTCCAATTTTACTTTATTCAACCTTTTCCTAGATTGAGCAACCTTGTAACTTGGAGATACAAGCTAAAAATTCTAGTTATTTCTGATTCATAAAAAAGGAAGAAAAAAAATTATCAAGGCCTTCTCTTCAGAAGACCCAAGTATAACAAGCTAGAGATCTTGCAGAACTTTGCCAATGACATGATACTCATTCATCAACCACCATTATCTGAGGGTAGTGATTCTCTTAACAAGGCACTCTTCAACCTGCCTACCATCAAATTACCTCTAATCTGTTGCAGACATACCTTCTCAATGTAGGCCAAATGGAATGTTTCACTTTCTGATCATTCCTTCAACTACAAACCATTTTACCCGGAAGGTTTTTTGTGGATCGTTTTGTCATATCTCCAAGGGAATTGCAAATGCAGCAGTACAACAGGGATAGGTAGTGAGATGGACAGCTCTAAAAATTACAGCTCAACTATTTAGTACTATACCTGATAGTCTCTTAACTGTCTAAGGTGCTTCCCTGGGGTTTCAACTTTTCCCAAACTGACTAACATTGCATAAAATGACTTATTGAATCTCCTCTTCTGACATCTAGAAGCCAAAGCTTGCAATAATGCACTGATAAGCTTGCAATAATGCACTAATGGACTGAATGCATCAGCAGAAGAACATACTTTTTCCTGGCATGAGATGGAGTCTGCAAGGTCTCCTCGGCCGGTCTCTTGCTCAGTCCCGACGGTGGGGTCTCTGCTTTGACGTCTGCCTGCAGAGGAGTTGCTGTCTCACTCACTTGAGATGCATGATTTGAAATCACTGACTGGATCTTGAAATCATTAAGAATGCTATTAGGCATCATACAAAAGGGGAAAAAAATAAAAATATAGAAACCTTCATACCCATTCCTGAAGTTCTTTCAATTCTGGGAGAATCCGTATGTCGGGTTCTCCTCCCTCGTGGTAGAACCTGAAGTGGTTCTTCATCTCCACCTTACTGAGGGACTTGAACTCGCACAGACTGCACGCAAACCGGAGGTAGTTGACCTCTCGTCGCAAGTGATCCCGAAACATAAACAACTTTGGTGTCTTGAAATTGCACTTTGGACATGAATACTGAATGGCAGGGGGATTTGCGGTCAGAGATGAACTGGAATGCGAAGAACCAAAGTCTTCGGCAAGGAGAATCCCTCTCACGTGCTTCACGCGACAAGGGTCGTCGCGTCTCCACAGTGGCAGAGGGTTTTCGTCCGCTGACTTTTCAGCACCACTGGTGGATCCCTTACGCCTGGCTATTTTGTGCTCACGAAGGACAACCACAATTTCATTGGGATCCTTGTGGTGCTCAAACAAATGGCGCACCACAACCTTCTTTTTGAAGTGGAGGTATGGGCAATGTCCACACTTGTACAGGGAGGGACCATGAAGCCTCAGGTGGTCACAAAGCTTCTTCACCGATGACACGATGAGCTTGCAATGCGGGCAGGCAAAGCTGACCTCGGTCGCATGTAGCGTGTTCATGTGGCTCTCGTACATGGTCTCACTCGGGTTGATGTAACTGCAGCCATTGATAGGGCAGACAAATCGCTCGCTGTCCTTCACGGTGGCCGGGTATTCGCTCTTCTGTCCGGACGAGGCTTCACCCGATGTCCCAGCTTTTGCCGAATGAGAACTTTCGGCCCAGTTGTCCATCTGGTCGAACATGAGTTCGGTGCGGAGGGGGTAGGGATTCACAGGGGCTTCGGTGGGTGTATCCAATCCTACCTGGTGCTTCATGAGGTGACACACCAGATCCTTGCGTACCCTGGTCGCAAAGTTGCACACTGCACAAGATAATTCTTTCTTCATAATGGACATTTGAGGTATCTTGTTGATCTCATCCACTCCAAAGGAAAATTTTTCTTCCAAAACTGGGACAGGAACGGAGGAAGTTCGAGCAGGCGGAGGGCGTCGTGCCTTTGGACGACAGATGTACGTGAGCTTCTCCTCGTCCACTTCCAGGGGATTCTTTGTGATCACTTCACACCTGGACACCTTGTGATCTGTCGCCATGTGGGCACGGATGGAGGTTTTGAGGATGACCTTGCGATCGCAGAGAGAGCAATGGTATCGCCGCATCCCATGCACCCGTATGTGTTCGAGAGCTGCCTTGAGTCGTCGCACCTGGAATCCTTTCCCACAGTGCGGGCACGTGTGTGGCCGTTGGTAGCGGCGGTTATCACAGATCTCCATATGTTCCCCGAGGTCGCGAAAAGTGTCGCATGGGAAGCGGCAATTGAAGACGGGGCACAGGTACAGGTCCTTCCCGCTCAACTCCTTCGCTTTGTCCGACTTCTCCGAACCGCAAGTGCTCTCCGGAGTGCTCGGCGGCGGAGTCGGCGGGGGATTCGAGCTCACACTGGTCACTGAGGTGATCTCAATGCGTGGGTGATGAGATTCCTTTGTGAGATGCGGAAGCTTCAATGGGGGGGCATCTGCCTCTGAAGAACTTGAAAACTCGGAAGAAGACGAAAGACTCCGTAGTTGCGGAGGATGGGATTTCACTTGTACTTGCAAGGGATGGGGTTTAACTTGTACTTGCAGGGGAAGGGATTTCATCTGTTGGGGCACAAAATAAACCATTACGTTTTCTGAGGTTACCTTGTCATGCACTAGCTAAATATTTCAGCTAGTGAAAAAAAAAACTATAAATGTACTATTAGACTGCAAGCCAGGGAAAAAAAATTGGTTGCTTAAACTCTGAAGGGCTCTGGATTTATGCAACACTCTAATCTCAAAGCCTGTAAATTTAGTAAATGTAGTTTTGTAAACCAAGCTTTGCCCATGCATGTATAAGTTAAGGATTCCATGGACGACATAAGATTGCTTGAAGTCACATATCTACAATCTGGAAAACACCCTAATTTCTTATTGTGGCTTCAAAGGCAGGATTCCCCCAAACAGCCACACAAAAAAAAAACCAAGGAAGACAAATATTTAAAAATTACTAACATCAAACAGCATCACTTTCATGTCCTTGTTCGGGTGCGAGTCCACAACGTGGGAGATGAGCTGCTTCGGTTGCATCCTCTCCTCGCAGAAGCAGCAGGTCACCCGGCCGGCCCCATGAACGACGCCCTGGTGCTGTTCCAAAGACAATCCACCGCAATCGTGAACCCAAGGGGCCACAAAGCAACAACCACGAGACCAAACTTCGCCTCGTCACTCACCGCCAGAAAGCTGGGCAAGTCCTTGAATTCCTGACTGCACCAAGAACACAAGAAAAGCATAACGCTGGGATGGTGCGTGATGACGTGGCTCGACATCTTCCCGCCCACGTCCGACTCGAACCCGCAACCCGCTGCACAACGAACGCATCATCTCTGGAGTCAGTACATTACACAGTACTAAACAAAAGATAAATTCATACTGGTCTCTATGAAGACAAAAGCAGGATCAAAACAGGTAATACACAACCACTCAAAGCCTGGCACTAGTCAGTCAGAACTCAACTTCAACTAAATGCAGTTTTAGTTGTTTTTTTTTACAATCAAGACCGTTGTGCATTTCCTGCCTGAAGTTCATGAAGGCACTCGAATTTGCCCTCACGAAAAAAGACGCTCTCAAAATCACGATTTTGCTGCCCAGTAACGTTTACCACCACTTAAATCGGCAGCGATGTTTTGCGAGGTCGGATGATATTTGTCGATAGTAGCGACTAATTCCTTTTCACACACAAGGTAGGAGCTGAAACGAGCATCAAGAAGAAAATGCAATGAATACGGGTCCTACGCCAGGTCCAAACGTGAAGCAACGCTCACACAGTCTCGCTCACAACCCACCACCCTCTCGCATACCTAACCCAGCGCCAGCTTCAGCACGCGCCCACACCCCTCCCAACACCCCGACCTTAAAACGAATATAAACACTGACGCCCGCCCCCTCTTTCGTCTCTCATCTATCTATCGATCCACCACGCATGCCGCCAGATGGACTTCCTAAGAGCACGTCCTGCCCCTGCAGACCCCTCCCTCCAACACGGCATCGTCGCTGGAATCACGCGTCGGCGTGCATCCGCGGATCCCCTCCCAGCAGGACGCCAGACATCCGGGGGCGTGAGGAGTGGGATCGGAACCCCAAGCTCACATCGATCGGCACCTCACCCCCGCATTGCTTGGGAACGCAAAAACGCGCAAATAAAACCCTGGAATGATAATGAAGGCATCCCGGACGGAAGGAGCGGGAGTCGAGTTTTCTCCGACTATCTGAGATTACAGACGAATAACAACTTACAGTTGTTTTTTTTTTATATCTAGACCTTTACTTAGCGGCAAAGGAAGGCAACCTTAACGTCCGTAAACATGCGCGCAACAGTGCCTAAGACGAAAGGCTCCACTCCGCAACGATGCCGCGGGGAGGACACTGTCGCACGCACGACGCGCGAGGCGAACTTCTGCAGGCGTACCTTCAAAAGGTCCTCAAGGGAGGCAGGAATGGGATGACGGAAGCGAAACTTAGCCTGGATGGTCGAGGCACGCGTACAACAATGCTCGACCTGCTTAAGGTTCCGATACAGGCCCGTGACAGCCGACGAACAAAATTTTTAAGTATTCAGATTCAGCAATATCAGTTACGCCTCCCAGCAAAATATCGGCAAAAAAACCGACATCACTGCAGGCCTACGTAAAATTCATGAAACTTTTTGCATCCCTCTACCCATCCCGTCACGACGAGCCCCAAGAATTGCAACAAAAAAAATTTCAAAAAAGGAACGGTCACGCAACAGCAAATACCCAATGAAAGCCCTGAAAGACCGATGAAACCACCTTCCGGTCAAACGACCCAATGGACAAGTCAGCAAAACAGAGCAGCCATAAGCTCTGAGCCAAACGCAAACGACTGCAAATCCCCTGCAACGCTTTTGGCACGTCTTTAAGATGATTTACCTTCTAAAATTTGCCATCACCCCTTCCCCCTCCACAAAGAAACGTCCTCATGCTATCACTCCACCTTTTCCCAGCAATCAACCAAAAGAAAATGCGACGACGCTCACATATCGGGCAGTGGTACTTCTTCACGTTCCTCGGTACTTCCGTGCAGGACGCCGCCCCACCCAGACCGCCACTCGAAAGCGCCGGCAGCTCGTAATGATTCGCCGGCTCCTTCTTGTGGTAATTTTTCTGAAAAAACCAAGAAATTGTTAAAAGAAAAAAAAAAGTAAATTATATTTCATTTCAATTTTTATATTTAATAACTTAATTTTGCTCACCCAGTGCAGCGTCACGTACGCCACGTTCACCGCCCGGTACGGACAGTACGGACACTGGAACCGACACGCCCCGTGCTCCCCCTCCACGTGCCCCGCCAGCCCCTGCACCTTGCACACGCTCCCGCAGTACGCACACGACGCCATCGCCCCCTGGCCCAGCCGGTGCACCGCCTCCAGGTGCAGCTGGAACTCCCGCGCGCTCCCGGTCGAGAACGCGCACGCCGTCTCCGCCGTGCACTTGAACAGGTCCGTCAGCCACGCCTGGGCGCCGCACGCCGGAATCGCTTTCGCCACGAAATCCGCCAGCAGTTTGCTCGGATTCACGTGCTTCACGCCCACACACGGGCTCTCCTCCTCCTCCTCCTCCTCCACCTCGCAGGGCACCGCTTCCATGAACGTGGGCGGGTCATCCGCGTGCGAAGCCACCTGGGAATCAACGCGAATACACCGCTTTTAACGCAGAGTTACTTGCAGAATTTCAGGCAGAAATTTCGCATTAAAGTTGGCAATATGGGCATTAGAGCCTCTCGGCTCACAGCCTCCCAGTTCAAAAGGTATAGATGCCGAAATATATACGGCATTCCCTCTCTTGTCCTACCGCAAACTTTATCGACTTCAGACAAACCCGATGAGCACTAATATCAAGAAGGGCACGAAGACTGAATATTCAAGCTTTCCGATTTAACAAACATTTTGAAATTTTCTCCCATCACTGTAGCCTTATCTTAACTTAAAGAGCAAGGATGGCTTTATCGAAAAAAAAACAGCGCACGCACTGTGGCGATGCTCACCAACAAATGCCGAAAATGACAGAAAAGCCTTTTTTTTTTAGATGAAACAGTAATGCAAGTAAATTCTGATTCTACGCAAATCTCCTCTTTCCCATTTAATTCCCGATTTCAAACCAAGCAACCACGCAGCAAAAAAAAAAACTGACCAGGTGCTTGTTGACCGCATCCTTGCTGAGGGACCGAAAGAAGCAGTAGCCGCATTGCACGAGCCAGAACCCATGGTGATCCACCATGTGATCCACGAGCGTCTTCAGCCCCGTGTTCGAGTACTGGCAGTAGCTGCAGTTGACCGGCCAGGGGTCGTTGCCGTGCTCCCGCGACAGGTGCCGCAGGAACGCCGACGCCCTGTTCGTCGTGAAGGCGCAGCACGAGGCGGAGCACTTGAAGAAGTCCAGCAGCTTCTCACGGCTGAGCATCTCGTTGTACACGCTCAGGTCTTTCCGGTAGAGCGGGTGCTTGATCCGCACCAGGACCGTGTCATCAGCTGGCACATCTGGACGCACATCTGGACGCACGTCTGGACGCACGCCTGACGACATCGGATCTTGAACTGGCATCAGATCTGGTATGGTCCATATCACCTGGGCGCCCTGAAAAGGAACGATGGATCTCAAATTGGAGACTCTCGGCCGGATGTGGTCTTGGTCCGGTGGGACTTTGACATAGAAACGATTTGTGAGTAATTGCATCCTGGTTTCATGACTCTTCATGCGTTTGGGAGTCTCGATCCAGCCAAATCACCATTGCCCGGAGACACTTTCCATCCAAAGCATCCCTCATCATTGTTACAGTTAGAGCTGGACAGTAACAGGATTGCGATACTGTGGGCCATATGTATGTGGTGGAATAAACCTCCGACCACATTATGGCTTGGTAATTTCAAGTAGAGTAAAAACCCAGTCATGACAAGGGCTGTCACGACGATCCATCGATTTTTCTTGCGGCGTGAATTATTTCCCGAAGCATTGCAGCAATGCATCGGCAGACTAAGAAAGAAAATACCCCCATAAAATTTCCCCCACCAGTCCTTAAGCGATACTAGACTGCGGAACCCAAGCAAGCGCCGGTCAATGAGACCCAGTAAACCCGAGCATCAACCGGAAGGATGCCATCCGCCTTTCCCTTTCTGCGACAGCGCGGGGGAAGCCCCGACCTTCATATTGGAATGCATTTTGCATGGATGTGCCACACAAGTGTGACCCCTCACGACTTCATTGGTTCCATATACATTTATTGTGCGGCAATAAGCATTGACGAATTTTCGCGGTGGAATGCGTAAGCTCAACGGTCATGACTATTGGCGCCATGAGGATGACCCTGGAAGACACCGCTCTATTTACTCATTAAATGAGGTGGAAAATGAATACCATTTTTTTATTTATGACTTTATTCGTAAAAACCTACCCAACTATTTCTGGCAACATCCCAGTCGGCAGAAGTTCGCCTCGCTAATGTCCTCCAGCAATGGAAATCCACAGAAAATGCTCGTCTATTATTCGTCAAGCTTTTTCCCTAAGAAACGATTTCTCTTCTGCAAACACCCCATAAACGCTTCCTTCAAATGTTTTCCCCATTTGTTTCCTTTGCTTATCGCCGCACAATAAATGTCTATGTCTTCATTGGTTCCACTCGATGCTGCAAGGTGTTAAGGTAGCATGCACGAGGTCGCTTTCGATTTCGGTATCAACTTCCCGCATAATTGTCGATAATGTATCTCATCGAGATATCGCAAGACCGAGTTACCAATGCCATCACGATAAAATACTGTATAATTCTTATGTCCGCAATTAAATTCAACGTATCGAACTCTGCCCGACATCTGGAAAGCTATCGACACCTGATATCCACATAATTTATTTAATATGCCCAATTTTAGGGTAAATTAAGCTAAATTTTAAAAAGGACAATAACTAGTAATAGTAAAAATATATTTATACAGTAGTCCCTCGCTTTACACGGGGGATGCGTATCGGCTTCCCTTCGTACACGTATTCCCACTTACACTTTTTTTCAATGCCAAAAATTCAATAAACTCAAATCGTATATCTGCAAACCACACCTCGTGCTTTTCAAATTATTAGTGGCAAAAAAAAATACCGTGCAAGTGCGAATCAGTGTAAAACGGGGGAAGCCAGTAATAAATAGAAACATGTGATGAAGGTCTACGGATACACCCCAAGGCGGCAAAAGCAGAGGATTTCGCCACACCCCAGACCAAGGACAGGCGTATTCCAGCTAAACTCAGAATGCAGGGTTCAAAAAAGGTGCAACCCAGTCCCCCCTCCCCCCTCCCAAGGCCAGCAAGCACGAATGCCCTTCCTTCCGCCCATCGCACCCCTCATTACGCACCCTCCAGCCCTCCAGGCGAAATGGAGATGAGGAGATAAGGGAAGAAGAGAGGAGAAAGGCGAAAGCAAGTCTCGTGCAGGAGGGGAGCCATCGGGAGCCACCGGGAGCCACCCTACGGACCCGAGCCCCCTGCACGCCCTGGGGCGTTGCACGCTGTGCAGCTGGAAGCGCCGGCTTGTCTGCCTCGAGGATTTTCTGAGGCTCACCTTAACGTTTGCCCAATGAAGCCCGAATCAAATCAAGACCTGATAAGAGTAAACTAAAAAAAAATATGAAACCATTCGTGACATTTTGAGGAGTTACTGTATCCGTGGTTTCTTTAATGACTACCAATTAGATTTGTCAATTTCAAATCGATCCAAGACTTGACCGATTGATCGCAAGCCTAAAAGCCACATTCTCCCTAATTTAGGCCAAATGAGTTCTTCCACGAATTCGAATATCTATGTGGCATCTAAAAATGCGAAGGAGAGATCAACCGGGCAATATCAAATGGTATGACAGGAATGTTCTCGTGTCATCCCACTTTAAATGCAATAGGATTAAAAAATTAATATATTTTTTATTATGTTGACTAGAACCCATGTCTTTCTTCCAGCATTGAGATGCATCCACAGGCAAAAAATTTGCAGGTGGGTGGGGGAGGGGAGTTAATTGCACACAGAATTGAGCATTTCTACCGCCAAAAACGACTTTCGCGAATAAATATAACACCCAACAATATGAAAAAAAGCGCGGGAATTTACTTTAATGACGGGACAAATAAAAATATTTACGGATGGCTTTGATCAAATGAAAGACAAGGAAAACGGGACAGGTGCGGGGGACAGAAACGATCCTAATTTGGTGCTAACTAGGGCCGTCGCCATGGCATTCTTGAAAACATCGACGCGCGATCGATTCACCGGCAAAACGCGCAATCATGGGGAAGGAAAGATCATCAAAGGAGAGCCCTCCCCGGGTGCCCTCCGCAACCCGCGGTCCCCGCGGACCAGCGCCGCGGTTCCGCGAAGGGAGGACGCTTGAAAGCCGCATAGGAGACTAAACAAAACTTGCCGACGAGTGGTCTCAGTTACCTATCTAGTCGTCGCCCTTTTCCTTTCCCGTATGCCAGGTGTGTGAAAAAGTTCTAAGCTTCTCCGGGAAGACGTGTCGACGCTCTAATAAGCTCTAATAGGTGTAGTAGCAGTTAATTACGTCATGAACAGGTTTGCAGCATGTCGGATTATTTAGTACTTAAATTTGAGCAGACAGAAATAATTTGCAGATAACGGAGATCACCCCAATAGCCATTCACGAGAGAACAAACTTCGAACATAGGGAGGGAACGCAGAGAAAAAGCAGACCGCGACGTATCGGGATTTCGCACGAACGTGTTCGTGACGATCTAGTATCGAGATATCGTGCTAACGAGTGCGTGACGATCTGGTATAGAGATATCGCACGAACGAGTTCGCAGAAATTCACATGCTCGTGCACTCGGATTTCAGCCAAGCCGAAAAAACTCAACGCAAATCAGACGTTCCGATATCGCAGCAAACAGCTCGCAAATTTCAAATCAATGCCGTGCAGATCTGCTGCGAAACAAACCCCGCAATCAAGGCGGACAGGGAAACAGCATCCTATCGTGACAATCCCACGCCCGACAATCGACGAAGAAATTAGATTTCGCACTGATGGCATCACATCAGAACGCCGAACCGCGCAGGGAAATAGTGTGTCCACATCAACGGTCGGGCTTAGAACGTTCCACACACGCGTGTAAGTAAAGCACGGGGTCCATTGACCGCACCTGCAAAGTTCTGACACTTTATATGTTGGGGGATTGCAATGCTTGGTAATCCATCAATCGAGACGGGTAAACTCCCATAGCACCCAATGTATGAAAAATTTTTATTCGATTTCCCATCAATAAAGCATGAAGTATAAAATCTCTATGCACGGTTCCCTAAGTCTTTCAACTTGCTCATTGTGAAAGCCAAGCCCTTTCCCTATTTTTATACACGAGACCGAGAAGACAACGTTTTTCCTTCTTTTCATGCTTTTTAGGCGCGACCTTGGAGGGCTAAACCGAAAAAAAATTTCTCTCTCTAAACTGGAAAATGCTATGTCACCTGATGACATTTTTTGGGCTTGCTTTCTGCAAACACAAGGTCATCTCTCGAACTGCACTCTGCTAATTTAAATTCATCCTCCAGCCCTATAATGGAACCACTGGGTAGACAAAGATGGAAGGTTAAAATGAGAGAAAAAAAACTGGTTAGTTTAACCTCTAGTGGTACCACTTTCTAGCGTGATTTCCACCTTTCCTGAATCTTTGACCATCCAGGTACCATCAGCGTTTCCTGATATTGACCGATAACCGATGTAATTTAGTTGCATCTTACAGATATGAATTTAATAAAACTGTTTCCAGAGCAACGGGGTCCTGAACATCCTCCGCTGATGCATTAGTCGAGGAAGGGAATAGGGTTGCTTCCTTCTTGCATGCTCTACTTAGGGAAGCAATGCCAAAAAAAGACGTGATGTGGGGGGAAATGCACCAAGCATGCGAATGGATGGATGGGTTTCTTCCCCTCTCAAGATAGTCTCATCCTGAAGGCCTGTTTCTTGGACCCTTTCTTCCAGCCTAATTACTCTCACTCTTTTGACCTGATGGATACAAGGCGAGTCTCGCCCAGTGACATACAATATAAAAATTACCACGGCAACTTTTTTCCATAGACTCCTGGCACATCTTTCTTCAAGCAACATGAGGCTTCAAACGGGAAGAAAGATAAAATTGGGATAAAAACAGGAAAACCAGAATGTCTTCCATATATATCTTTAAGTTTTCACCTATCAAACTTGCCAAATACCATAAACTGATGAATAATCTTGTCATTTTACTGTTGACTAATAGCACTGGATGGGATGCAATCACCATTTACAAGACTAACAAGTGCACAAGTTGAGATTCAAGAGTGAAAACGCAACATAACTGAATAAATATACCAGCTACTGATAATAATAGATTGACCGTAACACTTTTTCTGATGATTACCCAAAGTGTCATTTAATGTCCAAGAAGCTTTGGTTATGCAGGAAGTGCTTCCTGCTCAAGATTACATACAATGTGATGAACAACTGCCAATTGATATGATGTGTATTAGCCCATTTCTGGTATGTCAGTTCCACTGACCCATCATCATTACATATATTCCATAAAAGGAAATAGCCTCAGCCACAAAGGCATAAAGCAGGAAATGTCACATGGTTTTTCCTCCTTTCAGCTGGTGTAATGTGACATGCAGTTTGGAATGGACTGTGTGTGATTGCTTGTGACAGTTCATGGTGCTCTCCTTTTCTCATGGCCACAGTGTGAAATTGGGCAAATGGTAATTAATTTGTTCAATCTCATGATCTTATTGATAAGATCTACTGGCATTTCCTTGGCGTTAGACTAGCAAAACTGACAAAGTAGGGCAACAAAAAAATCTTTCAGATGCTTGACTCACCATTGATGACTTATCCATGAGCCCATAGTCGTGACCTACAAAGGGAAGATGGAGACAATGAGTCACATTTGAAGAACATTTTTGCAAGCAGAGAAAGTTTGCGCAAATCACCTTCATTCTCTACTTTGGGGACAACTTCAAACTTGAGACCATTGAGGATGAGATCTTCTCGCACCTTCACTTTCCCCACAGTAAGGCACGTCTCCTGTTCTTCCTTCACCATGGCCACCCTCAAGGAGTGTATGATTTTGGAGAAGTTGAATTCCTTCGATGCCTTGATTTTGTCAGCCAGTTTTTGTAAGAATGGGTTTTCACCCTCATACGTCTTGGAAGGGACTTCGTGATCGGAATGTTCAGATTCCGAAAATACATCAGGGATGCTGTTTTCACTGTCTGAGTCTTTGTCTGTTTCAATGGCATCATCTGCATTGAGCTTCTCAGGTACCAGAGCAGGAGGCAGTTCATCAGCATATGCCTTCTCCAGAGTCAACTTAATCTCTTCGAGTCTGGATTTCCAGTCGTCAGGGACATGCACAGGCTTGACAATAGGAGGATCCCTTTGTTTTTTGAGAAGCAATTCAACCTCTTCCCAGTAATGCTTCCCAGCATTTAACTTCTTTGGTTTGAAGGAAGCCATGACCTGATCCATTTCCTCCTTCTGATGCTTGATTCTTCCTTCCTCATCTTCTCTTAACACATATCCAATGAAGACTTCTTTGGCCAGTTGGGGCAGGGTGTCCTCTTTTGAAGGAACTAAAACCTTGTTGGAGCTATCACAGGTATGAGGGGATATTTTTGTACTTGGTGTCGATTCTGTTTTAATCACATTTCCATCAAGAATCGAAGGCAACAGATCTGATTCCACTTTTGAAACAGGCTTCAGGAGGTTTAACCAGACGATTTCATTCTGTTGATACGCTGTATGACGATGTGCAACTTGAATGTGCTCCTTGACTCCAGCTAAGTTTAATTGATAAAACTGACACTGCTGGCAAACATATAACAAGGGCCATGTCCTCGATATGGCCAAGAACCACTCAACGATTTCAAAGCCATTTGGAACATTTGGATGAACCGAGTTCTGGTGATGTCGAACGTCTTCAATACTGAAGTGAAGAGAGGAACAAGAACCACATCTAATACGTCTTTCTAGCGTGTGTGAATCACACACATGGATGAGCAGGTCTTCCACATCCTGGAATGTCACACTGCAAATCCGACACGTGGGGATAGGCTCCAGGTACTGACGGTGGGTGTCAAGGTGCTCCAGCAAAGCAGTTGCCTCAAATGTTTTAAAATCCTCACTGCACACACGGCACTTCACAGCCTCTGAAAAGGTGTTACCATTTGGAATCCATGATAGGTCTTGAAGGCGTTCTCTGTACATATCCACCTCCTCAGGACAAACAGTCTGCTCAAGCTCTGCCTCACTGAAAACATCTGTGCTGAGATATTGTGGCAACTCAATTTCTGGATGCTGAGAAAAGTGATGGTCCACCAGCTTATTCCCAACAAAGTCACAGTGTTTGCAGGGGATTTCAATCTTTACTTCTGAGAGGGTATTGTCATCAGGAGTGAGCTTGGGCTTGATTTTCTGTCTCCGAATCGCTATTCCCCTGCTCCATGCTGATTTGCCTTTCCTTCGCTTCCTTGTGTTTGATCTTGTTCCTTCATTCAACATGGACTCACTTGACACAGAGTTTTCACGAGAGAATCCAAGTCCTTCTGATTCGGTTATGGCACGAGCAATGGCATCATCATCGATTTCATCAGAGTCATCCACAGAAGTCTGAGTAGAGAAGGAACTTCCTCTGCTTGAAAGGTCTGATTCAAGCTTCTCCAAGAGAACAGTAGGTTTCCATATATTGATCCCTTCCAGAGAATGTCTGCTAGAAGCAGCAATGGCAGATGCAGGACTTTTATTACTTTCCACTCTCCATCCTTGTTCTGAGCTCGACACAATTGAGTCTTTCTCTAAAGTACTCAAAGGAGTTTCTTGTTTCACAGCCTTCAAGGTGCTGCCTTCAGCTTCCTGCCTCTCCTTTTCTGGATCAGCGCCAATAGATCTCCTCAACTTTGAGGATGATCTGGTGATGCGCTGATTCTCAAAATGCAGGACAGATCTTGGGTTATGTTGTTCACCCTTTTCCTTGAAATGTTCTTTGTTCTCTGAGATAAGTGCTTCAAGTTTCACTGTCACTCCATCCAACAGTGTCTTCTGTGGGGGGATTCCATCTAGCAGGGTCTCCTGTGAAGATATCTCTTCTAACTGAGTTTTCTGGGAGGAGACCCTCTCATTCTGGCTCACCTTGTCATCTTTTTCAGAAGACAATGCACAGGTTACAGCATTCTGGCACTGTGGAGTGGAAGTAGAAGGAGTCTTCTTTCGCCTGTGCCGATACTTTCTTTTCTTCTTCCTTAGATTGTCTGATGACGAATCAATATCAGAGATCTGAATGGCTGGCACACACACTGGTTTTGGTGGGGTTTCTGAGGGGATTCTTTCAGTGTTCTCTTGCACTGGTGGGTCACACTTCATGGGGATGATCTCAATGTCAGGATTCAGTCCTTTTTCTGTTTCTGAGGTAGATCCTTTTGAAGGTGAAATCTGAGGTGCTGCTGACTTGTTGTCATTTCCTGTCTTACTCAAACCAACATGTAACTCTGATGTCTTGATGATGCTGGCATCAGATCCATCCTGTTGGTTATATTCATCCTCAACATCACCAGACATTCCACCAATATCATCTTCATCTGACACTATCCGCAGCTTGTTCTTTCTTGTTTCCCTAGCTTTTCTCAGTCTTTCTTTTTCATTGACACAAGGTTCTTGTGCTGCATGTGCAGATACACCCGAGTCTCCTGCCTGCCAAGAAGCCTCTAATTTCTGCTTCACTGAAATCTGATCTGCACTGTCCCTCTTGGCTTTGGGGATCTTGAAGTCCCTCAAGCAGCTCACATCTTGCACCATGTGGTATGTTGGTGCTGGCCTCTCAGAGGAAGAATTCATTGCACTTGTCTGCTTAGATGATCTTTCTTGAAGTGCTTTAGCAAGCTTGAGGCGTTTTTCCTGTTCTCTAGCTTTGAACTTTTCTATCATCTCCTCGGCTTTTTTCCGAGTAGCTTCATCAGGACCCTCACTCTCTGAACCAGAACTTGTACAAGGCTTATTTGTTTTGCTATCATGTGAGATATCTAAATGTGGCTCAGAGGCACTATCAAGTTCTTTTGGTACATCCAGCACTTCAGGTTTTGGAATACCCTTTTTCTTTGCCTCAAGGGAGGAAAAGCCCACTCGGTGAATTGCCTTGATATCTTCTGTAAACTTGGACTTGAGATCATCAATTCTGGATTTGGCTGGTTCAGTGTGGTTAGTCTTTGGCTGAGAATTAAGAGCCTGTAACTGTGGCTGAAGAACTTTTCTCCCTTCAGGTAGTACTGGCTTCTTGGGCAGAGGTGGCCTTATAACTTCTCTTCTCATATCAATGTCTTTCCCTGAATGATTCACTGTAGTCAAGCTTCGCATCTGCACTGGATGGCTCTGTGGCTGCTGCACAGGAGAGGGGTATTTCACTTGTGATGTTCCAAATTGTGGAGCTTGTGATGGGAGTTGAGGTCGAGGGCAGACAGGGGTAGGGGTTTGCACTGACAATGTTCGAGGATCCCTCGACTGAGGAATGTTCACTGCTGTCACATCTGATGATGAATTTTGTCTATTCAGACGAGGGTCTCTGGACTGTGGTTGAGGGGAATCTTCTGCACTCGGAGAAAATATAGGTGATAACAAATGGGAATTTGGTGAAGCTGTGCATGAAAGCGGAGAAGAAAGCTGAAGAGCTGGGGAGCGGGAAGGCTCCGAGGTCACAATTGGCGCAGGCTCGGCGTGATTGATCTTCCGCAATGCATTTCTCGCTTCCTCAAATGTGTCAGAAGGGGTAGTCTTTTGGGGAAGGACCTGATTCAAGATGTATTCCCTAACCCTACTCTTACACAACCTGATGTCATTTACATTAGTTCTAGCAAGTAAAAACTGTTCAAATGAGGGTGGCAGGGCATGACAACGAGCCCGTAATAGTGAAGAGAGAGATCTTTTGGTGTTGGTGGTCCCAAGGGTGGTGGCAGAGGTAGTCCTGGGAGATATGCTCCCAGTTCCATGGATGATGCTGGAAGTCCTGTTAGGGATATTGCCAGTCTCATTGATGATGCAAGGTGTTCCATGGGTGGTATTGGTAACCCCTTGCATGACTTGATTTTTCAAGAAAGAAGACACATTAGCCATCATTCTTGTCTCTGGCTCGAACCTGTCACAGTAAAACATTCCATATTTGATGCTGTCAAAGCACAAAGTAAAATTAGAGCTTTGATTAATTTCAGGACTTACGGGAAAACATGGCTCATTTCCTCCAATCTTTCATTCAAACTTGACTGGTGCTCCTCTGCATTAATATTCTGTGTGAGAATGGCAAAAAAAATCCAAGAATAATTTATTATGCTCACTGTTATGAATCACAGTGGTTTAGATCTGATATGGAACTCCAGACCCACCTGGGGGTTCACCTGTTCAAGAATTTTGTGGAGGCGCTCTGCATACACAATTTTTGTTTCCTCCCTCAATCTGGCAAAAGATATCCTCATGAAATGATAAACTCAGTCGACCAAATGAGAAAATACAATGCATGTGAATTTTCAGCAAATTTTTAGCAATGATGATGTCATGCACGTATCCAATAAAAACAAGATCCTTGAGCATCTTCAGAAATATATTATGCACAAAAAAGTGGCATGAATTCTGAGCAAGTTTTCCAATATTACCAATCAACAACTCCATATATAAAGTTACCAGATGCTATTGAGTGATTGATATTGAACCTGAGCTGACATCAGCTTTAGAAGAAATCAGGTCACATGAGATCTATCCATAGAAAGCAAATAGGTGAATGAACTAAGACAAAGAAGGAAGCATGAAGTCCATTGCAGCAATTTCAGAATAGAAATGCCCTGCCCACAAAACCATCTTATGGTGTTATGGGATACTTACGTGTTCTGATGAATGGCAGTCCGTGCCCGAGTGACTATTTGCCTCACATTTGGTAAAGTGCCAAGAGTCTGATCGACCTTCTCAATCAACTGCAGCAGTTTCTCCTTCTCCTCTGGATACTTCCAGACTGTACAAGAGACATCATTCATCTACAATATAATACAATACAGGTCATGAGCTACTTGCACCTGGTGAAGGTTTTCCATAATTTTAGTGGGGTAAAAGTACCAGTTCCCAGATAGGTGCCTATTTGTGGATGATTTAGTGTCTTCAGCATGTCTAGAAAAACCAAAACAGGAAATTCATATCCTTGACTGCTTCACAAGACTGATTCCAGCATACTCTGGCCAAACTCCTAAGATAAATTTCCAAGATGGCAGATTACACTAGATTGTTCACAAAAAGGCACCTGTCTACAAACTGGCATGTTTACCTCGATCTTTCAGTCCAATATTGTACTGTTATTTTCCCAGTGAATACCACCTGGCAATGAATCTTGTGGTAATAAAATAGCTTAGGTGAGTTAAAATGTATTAAATTTCTCTCAGTAACAATGGTAGAGCCAAAAACTGCTTACACTCCAGTTCAAAATTATGTAACTAGAATCATTACTGCATTGCCCATTTCACAGTAATCACCAAACCAATCAATGGATGGCAAATACCACTTGTTTGAAAGGTATGACTTAGCAGTACTTATGATGTGCCTTATAAGCAGGGTTAAGTTGGGTCTGTTTTCTCATGGCTTCATAACAACTTCTTTCAAAAGACAAGATTAATGGGTTCTTTCTGTTGATGCATTCCAATATAGGCCTGGGAAAATGGAAAAGTCTTTCAAAGGAAAGCTTCTCCCAAAATTTTGTACTTTATGTTTCACAAAAAAACGAATAAACTTTCTGAACTCATTATCATGTACAGCATGTTATTAAAGAAAATAAACAATGGAACTACAATGTGAACAATAAACCCCTCCTAATTTTCCAATTTCCCAGAAGTAACGAAGGCAATTAACTCACTAGATGTAGACCACAAAAAATTCAATCATATATAAAATTACGGCCAAAAAATGCCACAATGCGAAAGAGTTCAATGACCTGTCTGTCACAATTGTCCAGTCATGCACACTGCTACACACTTTGACACAGTACATGAACGCTTGTGGAAGCACGTTGGCAAAACCTCACTAGTCATTGTATACCATGGCTAATAATATATAAATGAATCATGCAGAATGACATCTAAGATACACATGTGGGAGCTAGAAGCTTTCATTTTCTCAGACTGGATCCTAGGTATACATCTAAATATAAATATCTATAACAAGTAAGATGTCATTAGGTCCAGGTAATTTTATTGAACCAAAAAAACATTCAAGCAGCATTTTTTGGACCTCTTCAAATTATATGTTGAGGCTCAATGGTCAATATGCTGTGCAATGTAAAGGTTCGCTGCTTCATGTTTCCATATCTAGATGTCTTCTTTGAGTGCCTTCAACACCATTCTCACTGAATGGGTTTTAGCCCAAAGGGTAAACCAGCTTCAAGGCAAAATTTTGCATTGCATACATGTTTGCAGCCAACATCTTTCCAGTCCTTGCATAAATTCAAATTTGCTTTCAATAACTTCCAATTGTCCTAATAGGCCAACCAGTGCTACCATAGGCCCATGCCTGGAAGCACCAGTAATCTCATGTCCAATTTTGTGCTAGTCTAGATTTACTCGATATACTCCTACATAAAGGGCTCCTTCACTGGTGTGCTAGGCTCTAGCTAGGACTAAGGGCTAAAGGCTACATCTTTGGGTCTCATTATACAATACTTTCCCGATCTCGGATGCTCGCCAGCAACAAAGATAGGTCTACCTTAAGCCAATATGGCAGGTAAGGAGTTTTGGTGTAGCCTAGTATTGTGATTGCGATACAGATCACTATCAACACAACACGCTTAGGGGAGATTCTCCTCTGTCGACTCCACTTACCAGACATTCCCTTGCGCTCCTGTCACAATCGATTCTCAATTACGTCGGCCAAGAAACCCAGCCTATGAACAAAGAAACCCACACAGGTAGGGGCGATAACATGTCCGCTGGGGGCATCTTGAAGGCGCTCCCGCGCAAGCGCGGTGGTCCCTTGTCCAATAGGCGGGCTGAGGGTTGAAGCTCTGGTGGAGAATGTGTGAAACTTCTGCGTCGCCATCCCTAGGGCTCCTTTCCCTGGATCCTTCCACTCTAGATTGCCTTTCAATACTTTCTTCTACTGTTTGACGATACGCGCATGCGCCAGGAGGAAAAAGAGTGTTGCTGAGCATGGAATGGCATTCACACTGCTGGGGAGTATTGTATGGCCAAGGCACGCATTGGACTTGGCTGAAAACAATCATGGTTAGGCAGTAGCAGGGTATCTCTAGGTCGGCCAAGTAGGCCAGATTCTCATAGGCCTTTATGTTGCTATGCCAGCGATGACGCTCGAATATGTTTATGCGAGGTTCAATACAATGGCACGAACGCATACATGACACCCTACATATTTAAAAACTCTGTTTACATACTCGCGGAAGCTAGGCTCGATCGAAACTCAGTTGGTACTTGTAGACATGAGATTTGGCTGGGCCTAGGGCAACGTCAGGTGTATGCGCAGTTGCTTCAGGCCGATTCATGCAATGATTTATAAATTAATGAATTCGTAAAACCATTTATATTGTCGCTTATTTGTATGACATGCAAGGTGAGGGTATGTCTTCCATAAATATTAACAGCCTTTCCCAGCTCTTAATACAGAAGGTACGAATCAACGTGCGTGTTACCACAGGCTTTGGTTTATTCTCACCTTAAAGTGTAGCCTAGACTGCATGGAGTCGAATCACCAGTGGCCCGAGTTTATATTGGGTCCGGTGGAGGCTTGTTTTATGTAAGGTTACCAGACGTCCCTTTGGAATTTTCCTTTCCATCTTACTACCCCGGGTTTTCCACATTGCAAAGAGTAATACTCCGACTTTTGCTTGGAAACGTTCCAGTTTTTCCTGAAAAATATCTGGTCACCCTAGTCATAGGCCTAGTGCAGACCAAACGTTAAGCCGGTACGAGGAGGCTGTAGAACTGCGTCTGTCAATGTTAATACCCCTGCTTAAACAAAGTCACGTAGGCCTAGCACTGCACAACGCCGTGTTAGCATGCAAACTACCGCTGCATGTCGGAAAATTTGATAGTCATCAATGTCACACTTGGTGCTAGAGAGAGGTTGATAATTAAATTGCATGACGTCACTCATTGATGCCACAACTGAGAAAACAACCCATAGGCCAAGGTCATGGTCATGTTGCATGAGCACCAATGCCATGGAGACCACAATAAATTTTATTATATTAATGCTTAAACAGTGACGCTTGTGCATGCACAGTGTTCTTTATGGAGATCTCAAAACCTCATCATGGACCCTGTTCAGAGAGTCAAGTTCCATTATCCATGATACTCTCATTGATAGTGATGCATGTTACATCAGAGTTGCAAATGTGTGAATCAGCAAAACCAAGGAACTGAAGACAGGTGACTTGGGATACCCCCAAGGGAGAAACATGCTCTCAGCTCATCTTGAAAGGGAAGGAATTTGGTGAAAGAAACCTTGTGTAGACATTTGCAGAGGGAGGAATGCCAAAATGAAAAATCAAGCATGGGCTAATGGAAGACTGTTATATGAGGGAGTGCAGCCATTATGTATTGAATTTTACCCTGTGCAAATTTTTTTGCATCCTATCCCATCATCTTCAATGGCCCTAAAGAAGGCTTATCCCATCAGTTGTTTCTAAACTGTGTACTTTTTTATTGGAAATTTCTGGACAGATTGTTCAAACATGTAATTCATGGTAAAGAAATCCAACATTCAAGAAATGATCACTTGATAGACTAGTGCCTCAGACTTAAATAACTGCATCACATCAAATATTGGCTGGGCGTTGAAAGTTCAAATTTGTATAATTGATTATTGCTAATATTTGAAACATCTCTTTCAGGGTAACAGTAGAAAAGCATTGAATAGACCTGGTAAGTTAAGGCATTTCCTGTATTTCATGGAAGTAACTGCACCATAAAAGGCTATGTCTATACCAGATTACCACTTATGGGCTTGTTGTAGGTCAGACAAGATTCTGGCTGATATCTTATCTCTCAGACATGGTTGCACTCCACTCCATAACCTTGAGATGTTATTCTCATCAATATATCTGCTTGTTATTCTGCTGCACATAAGTTGATTCCCCATGATGGTTCTGTTAACTGACCTTGAGAAAAAATAGTCCAAATCTGCACACTGGGTGGATTTATATTCAATTGTGTATTCACTTCCGAAAACATGGGGAATCATGCGATCAGTGCACATTTAGAAATATAGATTTTTTTCAAGAATGCACTAACATGCTTTGAAGTTTAAAAAAATCACTTTAAAATCCAATAGCACTCCTCGCCTTTCATTGAAGTGACAGTGCTCTGAGAGAATCTGGAAATACAAGCTAGGGATCATACATACACATGTACATACATGTAGATCAGAAATCTTATTAACTGACTGTTTAAGGGAGAATTCTTAGGAAAAAAATAGTACCCTCCAGATAAGTGATACTTATCTCCAAGTGACACTTGTGAAGTGCAATGAAGTGCTTTTCTCTGCATTTTTTGCATTTTACTGGTGGCATTTCAAGTGGGGATGAGGGCCCCAGTTGAAGTCTTTGTGTGTCCTTTGCACTCAGCTTCTCAATTCCTGGATTGCCAACCTTAACAAGTGGTGCAACAAACTCATGATATGACCTTCAGCACATAAGCATGAGATGCCCTGACTTGCAACTGTGCACAGTCATAATGGGGATGAAATCCAACTGTGTTCTGGGTTTTGGTGATTCCTAACTCAGTTAAGATTCATCGTTTGTCGTACCATGCAATATATTATGGTTGCCACTATAGTACCAACTTGTTGTCATACTGGATGAGCCCACACATGGACTTATGCCTTTTTCAACAAATGCCCGAAAATACTAGGGTGTGCAGTAAATGCTACGATAATTGCATAGAGAGGGAAGCTGCATGGAACTTCTTGCTGAGGGGCCTGTGAGCTGTTTTCTTAGCGCATGTGATGTTCAAAGATACGACACCATTTTACCAAAGGAAAAGGACATCCTGAGAAATTGATCATTTTATCCCCTGGGTTTTTATTCCATTTTTATTTTCAAGAGAATGAAAGTACTTCTCAATGGTCATCCCAAAAATGAGATTATAACCGTAAACCGTGCAGGACGGCAAACTTGACATCTAGTGGATTGTCTGGAAATCTGTTGATTCTCATTTCTCCACAATAGGGGGGTACCAACACACATAGCCAACACATTCCAAGAATGGTGTAGCTTCCACAAATACCAGCAGGCTTAAAGAGCCATTATTGCAGAAGGTACGCACGTAGATTGTAAGCTTGAATTTAAGTCTAGCCCGAAGTAAAACAAGGCCCAATGCTGTAGGATTACCAGATACATAGTGGCCTAAGTTCGCCTGTCAGGCCGATTGTAGACTTAACGTTAGGCCTGCACCTAGAAGATTGCAGAGCTATTAGCACTCTTCACTAAAGAAATCACGTAGGCCTATTGCTGCATGATGTTGTGGTACCGTTCAAAGAGCTGCTGCGTGTTTGGAAGCTTTGATCAAGTCAAACTCTCTGTTGATGAGGGGTTAGAGATTTTATCATAAAACTCTTCATGCTGCAGCTGAGAGCAAAAGTGCAGTAGGCCTAGGTTATGTTGAAATAGTATTAGTGTCTTGTGTAGTGCATAAGGATTTGGAATACATTAGGACTTCAGCTTTGATGCTTGTGCATGCAAAGTATGCTTCCTGGATATCGGAAAAACTTCAGCATGGGCTCTGTTGAGTAAGTTTCATGATCTGTGGTGCTATGATGCATAAAAAATTAGAATGGAAAATGTGAATGTGAATCAGCAAGCCTATAGCACTGAGGACAGGCACCATAAAGAACCCCCAAAGAAGAGACAGTCATTCATCTCTGATTAAAGGAGGGGAATTTTGTGAAAAGCCTCTTCCATCATTGACATTTTTGCTTGGTGGTAAAGTTCATGCTGCCCATTGTGGCTGGCAATGGCCAATATAAAATAATAAAGCATGGGATAATGCAAAAATTGTTATATATAGTATTGCATTGTTTCTTTATTGACTTTCACCCTGTAACTTGAGCTTTTGCACTCTAACCCATCACCTTGGACAGAAAAATTATGCTTGTCTCATATTCTTTGTGTCTCAATTAAATTTTTTATTGGAAGTTTTGACAAGGTTATTTCTGCATGTATTTATGGAGGGAAAATAAGACTTGGGAAAGGATAACTTGACAGACATGTTACTCTGACAAGATTGAGTTAAGTGCACTTCAAATATTGGCTGGTGTTGGAAAATTTAAGTTCGTATGACTGACCTGCCAAGACTGCAAGATATCTCTCCTAGGTTTGCAATAAGGAGGGAAGGATTCATACTTGCTGCAGATTACCAGGTATAGTTGCCTTTGGTACCTATGGGCATTTACTTTGTATTTATATGTTGCAAGTGCTATAGGATCTAAGTGTCTGAAGTATTACTGCAATGTTTGATGTACTAGAATCATGAAAATTGCATTAATCAACTAGCCTAGACAATACACAAAAAGGTTCTTCCAATGGGTCAGGATGATCCCCAGGAGCTGCCTGACACATGATGGCAATTTCCATATTTAGTGAAAACTGCACTATGAAAGATGATGTCTGCACCAGATTGCCATTTATGGGGGTCAGGTGTGATTCTGACTGGTAGTTTATCTCCCAGACTTTGCTGCACTTCACTCTTTATCCTGGAGATGTTACTCTTCTCAGTAGATTTGAATTTTTATGCCTCCACATTTCAGTTGGTTTTTGTAAGCTGATTCTGTGATTTGACCTTGAAAAAATCCAGGTAGAATCTGCAGACTGGGTGCATTATATTCAACTGTGTATCTGCTACCAGAAACACAGGGAATCGTGATCTATTTCTTACCATCCATAATTCTCAGAAATTGAGACACATGGTACAAAAGACCTACAAAGTTTTGTAAGGAGCTTTATGGGCTCAAAGCACATCAGTATATTTAGTTTGATGAAACATTGACATGCTTTGAAGTTTAAGAAAATGAATTTAAAATCTCTC